ACCCGATAGTTCTGTGACTTGCTGTCACAAAATCTGCATGTGTACGTCGTCGTTTACCGCCACCTTTATATCTCTCTCATAAATGCTTTTTTGGTTTTGAAGCCTTTTGGGATTTGACCAGAGGGCAGAGAGAGAGAGCGAGAGTCCTAAGCGTTCTCTAACTCTCTTTGTCCCGCTCTGATATCCTTTATTTTCCTTATTTCGTTCCTTAAATACGTCGGTACAAACAAATTATGTCCATAAAATCGCCCTTTATTAATAAATTTAATTTTAAAATATCTCAAGATTTTGTCGGTTTTCCCACTCTACTTATAACCATCCACGGGTTTCTCTCATGATGGTCTATTTCAGTTAAACCAGAAACCAAAGCAACAAAGAAGGCAAAGGCAAAGGCAAAGGTTATGCTAAATAAGAGAGAGAGGAAATTGGGTCATGCATCTCTTCTGATATAACAAGAGCATCAGCCTTCTAGCTTTAAACCTACCCCATTTCGTATCCGTTCTGGTTTTCATATTAATAGTCTTTACCAAGTATGTGAATTCTTACAAGGGCCAAGGGGGACGTTTTATTTATGTTGCTTTGCTCCGTTCTCAGTACCTGGCAATAGTTATTATGGCTGTTCAAGCACAGTTATTTCCTGAAAATATGGGTTTCCCTTTGCCCATGTGTGGCCTTCAAGATTGGATGGTAAACCCTGCACCTGCAGGTCCTTCCTTTGAAGATGATTTTTGTTTCAGTCTTCAAGACCCTCATCAACAGAATTTTCCTTTCAATCTGCAACAAAACGCTCAGAACTTGGCTTCTTCTTCTTCAACGTGTGATAGTTTTCTTCCCATGGCACTTTCTCAATCTTTAGATGCTCAACTGGAGGTGCAAAGGCAGGAGCTTGATTGCATTCTTCAATTACAGGTAAGAAATCCATCATATTCTCAAAAGTTCATTTTTATCTTTTTCTTTACAAAATGATCACCTTGGTCTACTTTTCTTATGTAAGAGTCATCTTGATTTTATCATTATGGATTTTGAATATTATCAACTGTTTTCTTCCGGGTCTTGTCTTGTTTTGACTGATTTTTTTTTCGTTTCTTCCTGTTCTATCTCTGGGCGGGGAAAAAACAGAATGAGAGGCTAAGATCTGCTTTAGGTGAGCAAAGGAAGCGACAACTGGCCATCCTGCTGAAGAGTATGGAATCAAGGGCCTTGTATTTGATGAGGCGAAAAGAAGAAGACTTGGCACGAGCAACAAAGAGAACAATGGAGCTCGAAGCCTGCCTGAGAAAAGCGGAAATGGAGAGCGAGTCATGGCAAAGACTTGCAAAAGCAAACGAATCAATGGTTGTGGATCTAAGCAACACACTGGAACAGGTCAGAGAGGGCCTAGTCTGGGTCAGCAATAGAGCCGAAGATGCAGAGTCCCTTTTCTGCGGCTCGTGTGACAGAGAACAAGGAGCAGAAGTGAAAGAAGAGAGCAAAAAGATGGCTTGTAAACACTGCAATTCTAGGAGCTCGTGCGTTCTCTTCCTACCTTGCAGACACCTTTGCTCGTGCAAGTCTTGTGAAGCTTTTCTTGATTCTTGTCCTGTCTGTAAATCTGTAAAGGAGGCGAGCATGAAGGTTTTTTGGGTCTAACAGGAAAGGCACAAAGCAAAGAAAAAAGGATTGCAAATGCAATAGGGAAACATTTTTTGGGAAGCACACTTGTTGATGCCTGTACTGTCATCATGTTGTTTTCTTTTTTATTTGCTTTTCCTGGTTTATTATGTCAACTGATTTCCCCCTCTGTTTTTCTTTCTTTTTTTTTTATATTTTAATTTTTCTTCAAATGATGACAGTATCGGCTTGGCGAGAATCTTTCAACTTTTGACCCTTTCCGGGTTAATTACCATTTTCCTGATTTAGATTGCACTAAAAATACAAATATTTGTTTTCAAATTTTATATTTCTTTAATGACTGATGAATTTTTTGTTCTTTTCTTGGCTCACGGGAAGTATCAGCTTGCTTCAGCGGTAATAAGGTATTGTTTCGGTTTAACTGGCAGAAAAGATTTGGTAGCCGAAGTTTGATATTTATCATGGAGTGGAACTTTCCACCGCCACTCATAGCACTTTTTCCTTTGCTCTATCCAATGAATCACCCATTGAAATGACAGGAGGAGCTGTAAAACGAGTTAGAAAGAAAAGCTACATTAATTGACTATCCTGAAAGCCTAACCAAGGCTATCTAGAGTTCTAAACATGAGATAAACCCTTCCAGGTACTCATCAATAACAACCCTGCATGCGCCCTGTTTCATGGTGTCTGATGCAGAAAAGCAAAAGAAGCAAGAGTTATTTCCAAAACCCCAATATCAGGAACATAAAAAAAAAAGAAAAGAAAGCTGAAAGAAAAGTTCAAAAGGAAAGCTCCTCATCTCATCCCATATTTTCTTTGTTTTAAATCATTTATTCAATATCTCCATTCGTTCTAGTGTCCTTGTATGGGAAAGTCGATACCAAAATCTGCAAAATCACTTTCAGCTTGTTTCCTCGCTACCAGTTCCATCCTGGCGGAAAAGAATGGACAGGGGATGGTCCCAAAGTTCCGAGTGTGTCCCGGGACCCACCAAAGGGCGGTTGATTGAGTGGGCCCTACAATGTGTTTAAAGATCAGAGAACCGTTTCCGAGGGAGGGGAAGGATGACGAGTGAGTAAAAATGGTTGTTTTGTCTGAGATGTCGTGGGTCTCTGTATGGGGAATCGGGATGCGGGATTTGGTTCTTATTCAGGTCTCCAAACAAAGCGAGACCACGAAAGTTGACAGCCGGGTTCTCTCTTTTCCATTTGTTCCAATCTTATTTTTCGGCCTTTTGCCTCGCTGTATTTTCCTCTATTGATAAATCCAGGAACTGGACCAGTTTTCGGTACGCGTGGAAGTGTACGTGGACGGCTAGGATGCTTCCGCATCGTCGGTTGATCAACTTGCTGCCTATGAAGTGTGGATCCGGCTGGGCCTTTTGACTAGATCTGGAGAGCCGCTGTTGGTGAAACAGCTGCCGGTTTTTGGGTCTGTGGCATCGGCCTTTACGCCTTTGACTGGCTGAATATGCTGGAGATCCGCTACGTCACGGGCCCAATTTACCTCCTCGCTTCGTGGAAACTCTTGGACCTGTTTAAGGTTTGCCCAGTTGGCTTTCAAATAAAAGATTGGGCCAGACTTAACTCCCATGACATGAGATCCAACTTTTAAGTTTGAGTAATTTTCGATTAAAATGGTTCCATTAATTTGAATAAAATTAATTTTGAAATTTTTTACGATAATTGATTTGAGATTATAAGAATATAAATAGGTATAACTCATGCTTGAGTTATTTCTTTTGTTTCAATGTTTTTAATCATGTATGTTGGAAAATTTTAATATTAAATTTTTTGTGTTGTTAATATTTTATAATTTAATTTTGGTATAATATCTTCTAAATTGATTAAGAAAATTTAAATAAATCTTTATATTTTTTATACGTCTAATTAAATTTTTATATTTTTATTTTGAATTAAATAAATTTATATACTTTTATTTTAAGTTAAATAAATTTTTATGATTAATTATTGATAATTGACTTAGTTAAAATATCATTTTTCAATTTATGTTACGTGATATTAATATAGTATGCTAACATGTCATAATTGATAATGATGTGAGATATTAAAATATCATAATTAAAAATGACATTATGCCATATCAATATTATGTAAATATAAGATGATAAATAATATGTTAATTAATAATAATTAATCAATTATTAGTTATAAATGCCTATTCGATTCAAAATAAAAATATAAGAACTTGATTGAACGTAATAAAATAAAAAAAACTTATTTAAAAAATTTTACATAATTTAAAAGTTTATTTGAATATTATACCTTTAATTTTTTTTCAATGTTAATTAAGGACAAATTAAACAATTTATGATTGTATGCTCTAATACATTGATTTTCAATTCTCGAATATATTAGAGTAGCGCTGTATGTAGAATTTATCAAATAATTAGTATGTGAGAAGTTTTTTACACCATATATTTATTTTTTACTATCTCGATATTTTCTCATAAACATATTAGAATTGATAAGAATATGTTTACTTTCCCAAAAAATATGAAATTACCTTGAGGTGTGGGGAGTTTGTAAGCATTAGTAGAGTAGTGTGCATGGATCAATTTTGAGCCTATCGTGTTTAATTTAAACTTGGATTTTAAAGAATTTATATGTCAAACCAATTCATGCACTCAAATTTTGTTTATTACTACTAAAATTATATAATTATTTTGAAATAAAATTTGAGTTAGACTTGATTTTAATTTTGTTGAGTGAATTTAACAGTATAACCTTTTATGACAGCAAAATTTATTTATGGGAATTATTTGGAAAAAAATAAGGTACTGTATCAAAAAAATTAAAACCATAGGAGGTGTGAGTGAAATTTATTTATAAATAAATAAAAATAAGGAAATAATTGATAATGAATACGCTCACAAAGTCCATTTAAAAACATGAAATTACCAAAATACAACCGCGGTTAGCATATTTTCAGGGAGATGGACAAGGACGTGAAGGTAAATTTATGAGACAACACGTTGCGTAGAGGATGATAAAGCAGCCTGATTATTGAGCCTTAGAAGGCTTTATCAGCCCATAAACCCAATACGGGCGGCATCAAGCATTTAGCTACCCATTCGCGTGGCATATCAGACTGGGATCTTATCATCCAACGGCTGGTCAGCTGTTCATATTTAAGATCTTGCCACCCGTCCATGTATACCTAAATCTTAGTACATAGAGACGCACAACAAATTTTTTCCACTTATTCGTCATCGAGTCTCCGTCGACTCGACTCTTCCCGTCTATCCGGTCCCAATTGAGAAAAAGGAATCGAGAAGAAAATTTTGAACAAAAAAGAAGAAACGATATCCAATTTGGCCATAGCGATTTATCTGTAAGCGATCGGAGAAGAATTTTCCTAGATCAGCGATGCAACAAGGAGATTACAGCTCCTATTATCAATACCCTCATTCAAACCCTAACCCTAGCCCGAATCCGAATCCGAATCCATCCCCCACCGAATTTCACCAACCGCCCTACGCGTCGGCGCCGCCGTTTACATCCGGTTACGCCTCCTCCGATTACTCTGTTTATCCCCCAAATTACCCTCCCTATACCCAAAATCTTGATCCTGTCCCTCCTACTGCTCCCTCTTATGCTCCATCGTCAGGCGCAGCAACTCCAACGACACCGACGCTAACTTCACAATCGTCCTTCAATCAACAACCTATAGCGCCGCAGTCGGCGGCCGCTGCTCCTTCTTTCCCGCCTTATGATTCACATGTTCCCTATCAGCCGCCGACTTCCCAGCCACCTTATTACGAGCCGTATGATCAACATCAGACGGCTCCCAGCTATGGCCCTCCTCCATCAAACCCTAGCCCTACCCCCAATACGCCCTATTATTCAGCCCCATATAGCCAAGGATCATCTGTATCCTCTGTCCCACCTGCATACGACAACCCTTACGATAACTCTATGAAATTCGATCACAGCAGTGTCGGTTATTTCGACGAGAAATTCGGAGGAGGCTATGGCCGGAGTAGATCCGATTTAGGATCCGATCTCTACGGGAAGCGATCGGATAGCTATTCACGATATGGTGATGATGGTGCTTATGGGGACGGTATTTATGCTTATGAAGGAGGCAAGGTGGAGCCTTATGGGGCACGTGGCACAGCTCCGAAATCGTCGACTTGGGTTCAATTCGATGATTATGGTCGTTCTATTAATTTCCCTTCTGGGAAGGACTCGTCGGGCGGGTCAAGTTCAGTTTCTGGTAAGATTGTGAGGGCGGTGCCAAAGGCAGAGACCCAGCAAGATGTAAAGAGTGGGGTCCAGAAGTTTCGGGTTAAGTTGTTGTCTGAAGGTGGAGGACAGGGCCCCATGGATGTACTTTGCCAGGTAGTTTTTAATTAAAATTGCTAAAATTGGATTTGCTTTTGGTTGAAGTGATGAAGTTTCTGGTATCTGAGTTCAACTATGTTGGTTATATTTTTGAATTATCTGTGAAATTAAACTGGATGACTAAAATGGTTTGAAGGTTCTTCAAATTTTAGCCTGACCAGTCCTTAGTTCTGTATGATTTTATCAACATTGTAGTTCATATTTCTGATAGATAATTATGTTCTCTGTCCCGCTTTATCTATTCATCTAGTACTTTGAACTCATTATATAGCTTGATTTTCTGGTGTCAGATTGGTTTGGATGGTATTCGAATGCTTGACCCAAGTACCAGTCGAACATTGAGAATATATCCTCTTGAGAACATCACAAGATGCGATGTAAGTTGCCTACTATATCTTTTATTGTATTTCGTATCTGTTAATGATGGGCATTGCAATTAAATGGTATATTTTCTTCTAATGTAGGTGACCGACTCATCTACATTTGCATTCTGGTCCAAGAGCTCTGTTGACTTTGAACCAAGGCGGATCAGGTTGCAATCCAACAGTTACACTACAAACACCCTTCTGGATACTGTAACAGCAGCAACTGTACAGGTTGGTGTCAGAATTATAATTTTCTTAATTTCGTATGGGAAATTAACAGTTTACAGTTTACGTTGAATGATTTTATCATTATCATCATTGTCTACTTTTTTTCTGTTGGGGCTATGGGGGTGGTGGGAGTGGTTGTGGTTGGTATATTCCCGATCCATACCTAAAGTGTTCCAATTCTCAATTAGAGAAAAAGTCCTTGCTCTGAGTTGCAAATATCATGGAGTTGGTTTTGTGATTTTTAGTCTGGACTTTAGATTCATACTTTGGATGCATTGGGCATTGTTGCAAATGGACTAAAGCCAACTTAAAAGAGTGAATACATACTAGGTAACTAATTCATTTCTTTGCATGGAGACTCTCAAGTGAGCACAAAATGAACTAATCTCTGTTCAGGAGTCAGGAGGAGGAACATAATGAAGTACCATGGAGCATGGTTTTTTTGTAGCTTAAGAGAAATATAATCTGCAAGAATTATTTCGTTTCTCTTAAATTGGCCATTAGGATTTTGATGTAAGAGCCTATCAGAAGAGAGCACAATGGCAAGATATTGTCGCTCACTTGCAGTACCCAAAGTTTTTAAAATAATGAGCCTTTTAGTCATTCGAAAGGTATGGAAGATTGTCATGCTGCTGCGGAAGTTATCAGGTGCTTATAGGCATATGTGCATTGCATGTGTTTAAGGCACAAATTTTCTTGCGAGACTTTGTTGCTTTCTTTTATCTCAATCCTTAAACATTTATGACATGATTCTCTTTCATTTATCGTCCTTTGATTGGTACACTAGATATGTTCATAAGGCCTTTGCATGCCTAAGTTGGATGTGTCTTGATGGCTGTAGTTCTTTCACCCTTTGATTGCAGATCAAGGAGATGGGTGGGAGAAGCCAGCCTCCCGAATTTCTGAAGACTACTGAACAACCTGCAGAAAAGAAGAGAGGACTTGCTGATTGGATGAACTTGATGAAGCCTGGCATGGAGGAGAAAGATCATTGGGTAAAATTAAAGTTCTAAGGAAGAGGGTTTTTTTTTTTTGGTTTCACCTGCAAATTGCAGGTCAAATAAAAGCTATATTTAAAAAATCCAAAACAGGCTTATCTATATATTCTTTTTCTGCTTAGGTTCCTGATGAAGCTGTTTCAAAGTGCACAGCATGTGGAACTGATTTTGGGGCTTTTGTGCGGAAGGTAAATCATTCTCTGTGTATATGAAAACAGTTTCCTGCTTGCCTTCCTTTCTCATTTAAGTGTAATGCTTTTTTTCCTTTTCCTCTTCAGCACCACTGCAGGAACTGTGGGGATATTTTCTGTGACAAGTGTACCCACGGTAGAATTGCTCTAACTGCTGATGAGAATGCTCAGCCAGTTCGGGTTTGTGACCGATGCATGGTATGCTTATCAATCAGTTTTCTCACCATCTTCTTTCATAGCAATATAGTTTCTGTGGTGGTTTCTCCTGTTTATGGTTTTCTGAACTTGTTAGCTTGACAGTTAGGCATTGGTGTGTGGTTATAGTTGAGGATGATAAGGACATATTATGCAGATTTTATGCACATTTGGTTGAGCATGTAGAGTATCTGTATATCTATAATGTTCTTTAATTTAATGCCTACCCTTGGCTGACTGATCTATGGAAGTGTAATGGAGGATGACTATTATTTCCTGCATCACTTGCTGTGGATAGTTGTTTTCCGGTGGTTTAACCATGAAATAAGTTTCCTCGCCCCTTTAAAGCTTTTCTGTGGAGTGGTTAGAGAACTCTTTTAGTGGTTAAGGCAACTGAATTGGATGAGGCAGTTCAAGGAAGGGCTGAATACAGGAAAGAATATTCATATTGTTCAATAGTTGTTTGCTGAACAAAGGAAAGAATGTATACATTGTTCATAGTTCTCTTCCTTTTTTTTATTTTTACTGAGAAAGGAATTGTCGAATGGTCTTGGTCAATATCATCAACATTTGTTCTTATTGTTCTGTTACACTTTATAGGCTGAAGTGACTCAGAGGTTGAGTAATGCTAAGGAAGCAGCAAGTAAACCTGCTGGAATACAGAGTCATGAGGATCTTGCTAGGAAGCTTCAGGTAAGCATTGTTTTGAAACTTTATGATTTTAATGTTTGTTGCAATTAATTTATGAAAATCTGGCTGAGTTACTTCCGTTCATTGTCTGATTGTGATGACCTATGACAGGAGGAGATGGAAAAGAATCGCAGATCAGCATCAGGTAGTTTCTTGTTTCCTGAATGCGTTATTACCACGAAAGAAGTTACTTGCATATACATATGTATGTGCATTATTATGTTTGTAAAATAAAATGGAAGAGGGTACATATGTGTTCGGTTTAAAATGTTGGTCGAATAACATAAACATACCAAATTGCCAAGGTGAAGGAAGTTCTAGGACACATTTATCAATAGGGTTTACTCTGACCACTCTCAAAATGGTTTTATTATGTCAGGCTCCAAGTCTGATGGATCCGGTAGGCGGATGAAGGAAGTTGCCTGTCCTACTTGCACTGTTCATTTGCAGGTGTGTAATCCATGTGTAGCATCACTCTGGATTGCAAGTTTTCTTTTTGTTTTTTTTTGTTTCTTTGTCAATGTTATTGTAGCTCGGCTGATATGACAATTGTTGCAGGTCCAAGTTCCCAGTTCCGGTTCTGAGACCATTGAATGTGGGGTTTGCCAGCATCCTTTCCTTGTTAGTGCCCATTGATCTTGCCAGCGATGGGTCTTAATTCACTCAATTAATTTCTTGTTGATTTTATTATACTGGTTGAGGTTTTGATTATTATTTATAATAAGAAGGATTAGTTTGTGCATTAATCATTTCTTTGTTCTAAAACTCGGTTGTTCTGCTGTCATCTTTTCTAGTTAAGTGTGTATATGAAGTTTTCTGTGAATGTCGAGTCAATCTCTGTATAAAGTTGACAGGCCACTTATAATTGCTAGAGTGCTTTCCATGCCATGCTGCGGTTGTTTTCTTTTTCCTTTTAATGCTTCTGCAATTTGCGACCGTAAGCTGCCTAGCAGGTGGCGGCCCAAGGCGGCTGCTTCAACATATAGTCAATTGCAAAACAGAGGTCCACCTAAAACAGGTGAAAGGCCATAAAAACCCAAGCCCATGCACGAAAAGGCTAACCCACTGTTTTGCTCATCATTACATACAAACAAGCTCTATACTGAGCCCATTGTTGTTATAGTAATTAAGTCCAACAAAGCCCGGTAACGGATGCCACGTGTCACGACCAAACAATACCCCAAATAAAAATGGCAAACCAGGATTAAAATGTTAGCCCTTACGCTTGAATTTTACGCCCACACATGCCAATAAGTTTGTCTTTTCCGGAATTAGTGGATTAAATTCGATTTATTATTTTTAATATGGACGAGGACTATTTATTTGATTATTTTAATAAATTTTTTATATTTAAAATTTAAATATGACCATCCCAAAAAATAATCATTTAATAATATATATTTTTAGACATGGTATCTATAACTTCGTTGAAAGAAGACTTTCTTTTTATATGATAAACAAGAAGTTAAATGTTTTTAGGCCTTAAATATTAAGTCGTGAGAGTCACATGGAGTTGCCCAACGTTATGTGGAACTGGGAAGTAAGTTCATAGTAAAAACCAAAGCCGTGTCTGAATGAAAACAGAAATGCAAATCGGAAGGGACATTCGAACCACTCGTTACTTATTACTCGTACCATATGTCTGTGTAAATGAAGCAAGTGATAATGAATTCATGCCTTCCAGATCCAACCACTCAGTAATTATTTGTCATTTCTAATATTGAACGTTGTAAAATTCTGGCTTGCATGTGCGTATATATATATGCAAATGCTTAGCCAACTACTAGTCATTTTATTGTTCTACATGACTAAATGAGATAGGATTTTTTTTTTCACGTGATAACACTTCTTTCCTCTATTTTCTTTTTATCTATTTTTGTATGTTTATTCTTTTATATTATAAATTTATTTTCATGAGATTTTTTTTACATTTTCATATTAAAAAAGTTGAACATTTATAATAAAAGTTTTTCAAATTTTAATAAATATACATTAAAATAAAAAATTTTCAATCTTCGGTAAAAGAAAAAAAAGTAAACATTTAGAAGCAGAGAACGTAAATCCTAAGATTAATTTACCATATAGTAAATTGAGATCAGTAAATTGCCTTTCACTACCTTTTAGTGATATGGTACAGAGATTTGGCCATTGAAAAATAGTCACAGACTCATCATAAATATGTAGTTGAGATCAATTAATTAATTCCCAATGTAATGTTGGTGCCTTCGGATCATGCCCCAAGAGTTCACCACATTTTAGCTACAGCATCAAAGGAATTGAATCTTTAACCAGGCCCAAACAACTACATCTTCGAATTTGGAAATTAAGATTACTACAAAGAGATAAACTAGGTAAGATTGTTGTTTAATAACGATATGTTTGAGGTTTGAGATTCAAAGTTTAATTACTTAGTATCTTTATTGAAGTAATTAAATCCGTCATATTCGGGTATTTAAATTCTCATTAAGAACTTCTGTCAACAAACAGTTTGTTAACCGATCTCATAATGAAAAAGGCAGATCCTTGGGTGTGAAGCAGGCCTTGTTTTAGGGTTGATGCTAAGCAATGCATTTATATGTGTCTGTGAACAAAAACGAAAAATGGGGTGGGAGATTTCGGCAACGGCTGGTTGGGAATGGTAACAAACAAACTAACAATGCCCTACCACTACTTCGAGTACAAACATTTGAAGACTGCCATTCCTTCCGCTAGCAGAATGGAAAGGGTTAATAATTACCGTAATCAGAAACAGAGTTAATCAATTTTTATTAAATAATCAAAAAAAAAATTAAGAGCTAAAAATTTTTGAGAGAATTATTAAGAAATATATATATATATATATATAAGATTTTGAAAATTTTAAAGAATCACAGCCCCATAATTACACAAGATTTCGCCCCTGGCCGTAACAAGCTTAGTTGAAGAATATTGTTCTTGAAGTTTAATGGGTCCCTGAAGGGTCAAAAACTAAAGGTTGAATTAATATCGGAAGGTGGCAGCAATGCAGCAAAAGGATGCCATAATTTAGAAATATTCGGATGCAAGTCTATTTCTACTACCATAAACGACATTGACAATGAGGAAAGAGAAGGGAAGGGGCAACCTCAAATCAATGCTCAAAGCAAGATGTGAGATGCGTTAGTTAGATGAAGTAGTCTCATTGATCATCACATGAATATAGCGTAAAGGAGAGAACATGTATGCAGAAAATCTCAAACATATAGAGTGAAACAACTGTGATGGATTGTAGGGCATTATCCAATTAATTGAATAAGAATGGCACCAGATATCAGCCAAGGTCCAAACTACTTTCTTTAATATCTGCCATCTGTTATCTCTGTTTCATACTGATTTGCAGATTAAGATAAAGATTTCCAGCTGATGTGGATGTGCAGCTACTAAATTCTATGTGATTTTATGGCTTTTTTTTTATAATTAAGTGTGAAATTAATTTTATATCATTAATTTTTTTAAAAAGAAATTGCGTTCGAATTTCTTTTTTTTTTTTTGAGATAACAAATATTTCATTGTTTTATAATGCGAAATAAAATTGTTTATCTGGGACCAATTGAGTAGACCTATCTCTTAGGATGATTGGCTTTTGAGTATGTGATGTTGGAACAGTTGCCTTTACAAATTAAGTAATTGATCACAACTTGTCCTCTAGATCCATTTTCTGATAAAAATTTGGATGCCATTTATTTGTTTTAATTTTACACTCATTTTCTGTCAGGTGGGCAGATTAATTATTTTCTCTGTAAAATACATATCATCAGCATAATGAAGAGTGATGAACCATTAGAATATGCATAAGTTGTAGAGTGGGCAAGCCTTGGTCGTTTACCAAACAAACGAACGGCAGGAACGTGTGCAAAGCTTTGTGAGTTAATCTGTTTTAAAAGCATGGGTTTTTTCTATTATTAATGGAGTTTCGAAGGAGTAGTGTGGATTGCCTTTCATGCGCGAGGGTAGCCCACCAACCCTGCATGAAGTGTAAGAGTCACTTTGCCAGCTTTTGACACGAGATCATAAAAATATATACTTTCTGTCACCAGCTTTACTTTTACTTGGCTCAAAGGAATCTCATCACGTGTCACAAATATGCTGGCGAAAATTCCTTTCGGTGTCAACAATTACAGTTGATGTATATGTTTTTTTTATAATATTTTGTTTAGTTGTTAATTAGTGCTAATCATTTTGAGTAAACAAGAACTGTTAAAATATCTTTGCAGCTTCTGCTTAATTTCTCCAACATTGGATGATATTAACACCCAAATAATTTGTCAGAGTAGGATTCTTTCTTTCTCTTTTTTTTTTTTTTGTGGCTTGGTTGGGAATTGGGAATAGATTTCTTTAGTGCTTGTAAACTACTGTAATTAAGTCTGTCGCTTGAGAAAAACGAAACCCAAACTAATTAACCCAAAAAAGAAAAAGGAAAAGTGTATGTTTTTGCTTCTAAAACATGGAAACAGAAAGTGTTTTGACTGTAAATAAATTGTTCCTCACCAACATTTCCATGATAAGATAAAAACAAAAGGAAATTAAGAAAAGAATGGTGCATAGGGGGAATGAAAATTTGGTTCATGCAAAATCCCCATTGTAGTAAATTAGTAATAAATAGTCCTATTGGTAATTCAATGCCAATTGTTATTACAAACTAGATAAAAAAAAAAGAAGAAAAAATTCCTTATATTGTTCGATTAATCGAATCTAGGAGAGAATCAATCTGTTGATCTATAAAATCCCAAAATACATGGTCCCTAAGGAAAAAAAAAAGAAGAAAAAACTGTTAGGAATATACACGTCAAATTATAATGCATTGAAAATTTTGTAACCATGAATATTGCTTTAGAAAGAATCAATCCATAATTAACAACAAAGCCATAAACAAAGACAAAGGTACAACATCCATATAATTATTATTATTATTATTATAATACACTAGTAGTAATTATAGAGTGTTGGATCAGTTTTACAAGAATTTGCTATTCATATTTCAATGATCGGTACTGATGGAACCAAGTTGATGGCCAGTAATATTTAATTTTTTTATTATAATATAATTATTTTTATAATTATTTTTTATATAAAATTTTGAATTCAATCACTGATGTTCAACTATTTCTTTAACTGTGTACTTTCATTGTAAAAAAAAAAAAAACTGAATGGAGGAAGGAAAAAGTAAGGAGTTTTTTTTTCTTTCGTTGTTTGACGTTTATCTATATATCCATCTATCTATCTATCTATCTATCTATATATATATATATATATATCAAGGTGGGGGATCCATGTCTTAAATTTCTGGGGGGAGATGTGGTAACTAAGGGCAGTTAGCGGTTGTGGATTGCGACCTTAAATTGTCCTTTTGGTCTTGTCACGTGTGTGGTTTTCGGGTTTGGCACCCTTAAGTTTTTCCTAATCTTTCGTTTCTCTTTGTGATATAAACTGTCACCGTACGTGGATCATTTAACCTATAAAAAAAATCCAAATTTTATAAAGAATTTTGTTAACAAGCACCGTTTAAGACAAATAAAAAAAAAGAGAGAGATTAGAGATTGTATTAAACTGAAAAGTGTAATTTAGAAAGACTTAATTAAGTAATTAGACGAAGTTTTTCATAATTTCATGTATGTTTATGTATTAATATATGATTTCTAAAACTTTATTTTTATATATGATATTCAATCCCTCCCGGAGTATGTGATAAATTATAGTATGAATTAAGTAGTAGTGCCTTTTAACGTGATCTTGATATCGTGATTATTTTATAAAAAGGGTTGGTTTTTCTATAATATTAATGTATTTAATACTAATCTATATTTAGTTGAGTGACATAAATATGTTTATATATATATATATATATATATATAGAAAACCGATTATTTTTT